CTTCTCAATGTTGTCCATAGCTTGTCATGATCCACACAATTGAAAGCCTTTGCATAGTCAATAAAGCATAGGTAAACATCTTTCTGATAGTCTCTGCTTTCAGCCAAGATCCATTGGATATCAGCAGTGATATCTCTCGTTCCATGGCCTCTTCTGAATCTAGCTTGAACTTCTGGAAGTTCTCTATCAATGTATGATTGTAGCCGTTTCTGTATTACCTTGAGCAAAACTTTACTCGCTTAAGATATCAAAGAGATTGTCTGATAATTTCTACATTCTGTTGGGTCACCTCTCTTTGGAATGGGCACAAATATGGATCTCTTCCAGTCAGTCGGCCAGATAGTTGTCTTCCAAATTTTGGGGCAGAGATGAGTGAGTGCCTTCTTACTGCCTCACTTTCTTGAAAGATTTCAAATTTTATTCCATCAATTCCTGGTGCCTTGTTCTTTGCCAATTCCTTCAATGCACTTTGGACTTCCTCCCTGAGTATCACTGGCTCTTGATCATATGGTACCTCTTGAAATGGTTGAACATTAACCATTTCCTTTTGGTACAATGACTCTGCGTATTCCTTCCATCGTCTCTTAATGCATTCTGCATCATTCAGTAATATGCCCAGAGAATCTTTCAATAATGAAAATCGAGGCTTAAATTTTTCTTCAGTTCCCCCTGCTTGAGAAATGCTGACGGTGTTCTTCCTTTTTGGTTTTCTGACTCCACATCTTTGCATATTTTATTATAGTATTTGGCTTTATCTTCTCTAGCTGATCTTTGAAAATTTCTGTTCTGCTCTTGGACCTCCTCAATTCTTCCATTTGCTTTAGCATCTCTATGCTGGAGAGCTAGTTTCAGAGTCTCTTCTGACATCCATTTTGACCTTTTCCCTCTTTCTTGTCTTCTTAATGACTTTTTGCTCTCATCACGTATGATGTTCTTGATGTCATCCCACAACTCTTCTGGTCTTCCGTCTTTAGTGTTTAATGCATCAAATCTGTTCTTTAGATGATCTCTAAATTCAGGTGGGATAAATTCCAGGTCATATTTTGGCTCTCGGGGACTTGTTTTCATTTTCTTCAGCTTAAGTTTGAATTTGCACATGAATAATTGATGGTCTGTTCCACAGTCTGCCCCTGGCCTTGTTTTCACTTAGGATATGGAGCTTTTCCATCTTCTCTTTCCATAGATGTAGTCAATTTGATTTCTATGTGTTCCATCTGGTGAGGTCCATGTTTATAATTGTCTCTTATGATATCTAAAGAAAGTATTTGAAATGAACAAATCACTGGTTTTGCAGAAATCTATCAT